CCCAACTCAAACGGGCTTTATTGAAGGAAAAAACATCCAGGACAACATCCTACTAGTAAATGAACTAATCAAACTCTCAAGGCAATCCAAACACAATGCGGCTTTCATCTTCATAGATTTTGAAAAATCATATGACCATGTGGACTGTTTTTTTCTGAAAAAATGTCTGAAAAAGTTCAATTTTGGTCCTAACTTTCGTAAATGGATTGAGATTCTGCACTCTAATGCAACCACAAGAGTAATGATAAATGAGAACTTAGCCCCCCCCATTGAACTGGAGAGATCGGTGAGACAAGGAGATCCTATCACTCATTTCCTCTTTGTTATAATAATGGAGGCCCTTGCAGCTAACTTGAGATGCAACAAAGACATCAGGCGAATCCAAGTCACCTACATACCGGAAGAAGCAATACCAGTATGCTCCTTGTTTGCAGATGACCTCTAACTGATGGTTGAAGCTTCTCAAAAAAATTTAAGGAAGTCAAGGAACTAATGGATAAATTTGTGCTCTCTCTGACATGAGAATAAATTGGGGAACAAAAATTCAAGGTTGGTGGATACATCACCAGGGAGTGAGACCGCCGGAACTTCCAAAGATTAACTGGGTCTCAGCAAAAAAGTCAATCAGAGTACTGGGGATTTCACTCTCTGCAAGAGATAAACCAACGGAGAACAATGAATGGATATGTAAACCGGCTCTGGCAAAACTGGAATTACGGAAAGATAAAAGGACTTCCATTATAGGGCGGTCGCTGGTCATTAACAATGTCATACGGGCCTCACTCTGGTATAAATCAGCAGTATGGGCGCTGGAAAAATCTGCGCTTAAACCCCTACAAAGACAGATTACAGCATATCTGTGGAGGGGAAACCATGATTATAAGAATGTATTAAGCAGAGTGGCATGGCAGACGGTGATCCAACCCAAAACAAAAGGAGGGCTGGGGTTACTAGACCCATCTACTCAAGCCATGGCCCTTTCAGTTCAGTGGATTAAAAGACTTCTTTTCAACCCAGAGACACCTTGGGTAGCACTAGCAGAAGAGCAAATTGCAAGACTAGCCCCTGAAGTACCTAGTGGGACTGATCCACTGATGTGGTTAGAGAATCGTCACTGGCCTATCCCCAAAGGCAGTACACAGCACAAGAAACAGCCAGCGAAGTCACATAGACAAGCCACAAAAATTGAAAAAAAAAATGATCCTTTTTTGACAAACCTCCTCAGGACTTGGCGCAAGCTGCCTCTACCGGACAAAACTGCCCCAAACAGATGGGAGGAAGTCTGTCAACAACCGTTGTTCAACAACAGATGGATCACCGATACACAAGGGAGGATGTTTCACTGCACAGACTCACCTTGGAAAGGATGGGTAAGAAACGGGGTACTAAGAGTAGGGGATATATGGTGCCCAGAAGCGAAAGACTTGCTCAAACTCTCCAACCTCCTGCCAAGGTTAAAATATTGCAGAGGAACAGAAAAGGCTTTAGAGACAATTACTGAAGCAATTCCGATAGCCTGGCTAAGGATTCTCATAAAAGGGGTCCAACTCAAGGAAAGTGATTGGGTGGGTATACAGGGAAACTCCCAACAGGTAGGAAGTGTTATAATGCAAGATGGGGGAGGTTCAGTTTTAATCTCTATTCTCTCAATCAATCAGAATTATCAGATAAAGAAAAATCCTATAAAAGAAACCAAATGGGTTGAAACAGGACAGAATCAGAGTTCTGAAACACAAAGACCAGTGGCTAGCTTTCAACCCTCAGTGCCCAATTAACAAACTGGCATTGGACCCAATCTATTGGACATAGAAGGTTCCAATGAGGAGCAACAGAAACTGTACACGCTTCCTACACTCACTAACGGTCAAATCTACGTACAGGATGTTAAGACCCAGGGTAAATCTGAGAGACCAGGTGGAAAGCAGGTGGATGAAACACCTGAATGTGGACAAGGAGGATATTAGGAAAATCAAGTGGTTTAAGACTATCAAGATTAGGCCAACAAAGATTGCTTCTCTACAATGGCAGATTGACCACCGCTGTCTGCCCACAAATGATTGGCTAATGGACTTCACTGGAAAAAAAAAGCCTTGCTCACCCTTGGTGCAAAATGTGTACCTCTGCGTTCCCAAGCAGGTGCATTCCAGAAATCATAGAGCACATATTCCTACAATGTCCAGGTGCTGTTTGGTTGTGGCGCTGGTGGGATAGAATTTGGTCTACCCTTATAACTCAGCAGTCATGGCCATGGGATTGGAGAGCACTGTTATGTGAGACTTGGTCCCCGGCCCCACTAGATGATTTCTCTCACAATCTCTTTAAAACAGGAAGAAGGGCCATCATTTGGGCCCTATGGAATTGTCGTTGCACCTTTGAAATGGAAGGAGCAAGGATTGATGGCCCTGAATTAACAGAAGCAATCAAACTACAAGTGCAGACAGACATTACAGTTCAATGGAACAAGGTAAAGRAAAAAATTCAATTCTTATCTTCCAGAAAAKAAATTYTACAGCACATYAAACAATTCAGTGGCGCTTGGCTAGGGGGGTCCCAAGGAGGGAAGATTGGTCAGATTCGAGAAGGTGAGGGAAGGAGAGGAATCAAGGAAGGGCAATATGAGGAAGTACCCAGAGACTTCCGGCTGGTGTTTCACGACTGGACCACTATAGACTCATCTATCTCGCTGCGCCCCCCATCAGAATTCCCAGACCCATTTCCCCCTCATGCTCTAGCGCTGGTTCCCTTGAGTTGGTATGGCTATGATTGATAGGAAGATACCTGATCTGCAGAGCTTGCTATTACTGATCTACCTGGCGTCCATATTGGATGAAGAGGTTCTGCTTGTTCCCGTAGGGCATTGGAAGTTCCCAAAGCTCGGAATGCATCGGTCATCATCATCATAACTATTCAGCATAATCATCATCTTCATTATGGTCGGAAATCAGTATCTGTAGGTGGGGGACGCTGGGCCAGGTTCCCAGCATGTGCTGTGTCGTTATACTTGCAATGTAATTCATGGGACGCTGGACCCGGTTTCCAGCAGGTGCAGCTCCCCACTAATAGAATGGAGCCCCTGGGAGCCAGGTATCATCACTCCTACCTGGTATCACGGGTTTATTTAAAAGAAAAAAAAGAAAAAAAAAGAAGCTCCCAGAATCTCGAACCCCCTAACAAACCCTTCCAGAGTTCCTCACCGTTGTCTTACTCTCTTCCAAGCTCTTCCAGGCCTCACACCCCCACTTCCTGCTGGGTTACAGGGCAACACACAACTCGCCCCAGCTCCGGCCAGCGTCGTCCCAGCAGCCAAACCTTGGTTGTCCCATGAGATGCCCACCCCAAAGCATCCCCAAATCTCTCTACCAGGCCTCACGCTTCTGCGTCAACAGGTTACAGGGCAACACCCCAGCACCGGCCAGCGTCGTTCTGGCATCGAACAACCACAGATCACTGAGTATAACAACTTCAAAGAAGTCTAGGAAAAGTTGATAGAAGCCCCAGAATCCTGAAAACTCTGAAGTCCCCCCAATGGCCAAAAAAGGATAAAATTCAGAAAAAAGGGGGGTTGAAACTGGGAATTAGTACCTCCTATCCTAAAAATCCCCCTCTCAACAAACGGACCGTCGGTCCCGGCTTTCGGTCCTCGTACCAGAACTCACCTGGTCTCATACCCCCCTCAGCTAGGGTAACAGGGCCCCACAACCCTCCCCAGTACCGAGCAGCCTAGTTCTGACGGACAGGAAGTGCCTTCCTCCCTCGACAATTCCTTTCACCTGCGTGGCTCCCCCCTTCTTTCCCCTTCATTTCCCTTTCCCTCTCTCCCAGCCAGGCTCGGCTGCTGCTAGCTCAACTCCAACCCAAAACCTTTAGCTCCACATCTCGAGACTCAAGTCAGTCAAGTTGTTCAGTCTTTCTATTTTTCTTTCATTCTTGAATAACCTCGGCCCAGCCCAAAACCCCAATTCCCCTTCTTGAGAATCTAGACTGTAACCATACTGTGCCACTCCTTCCCCTCTTGCAACTAGTGTAGACCAATACAGTCTCACGTATTCAATTTTTTTCAATTCTTTAACAATTTGATGAACGTCGGTTCCTAACGGTGCGGTAAAAAGCGAAACTGGCTAATGCTTCCAGACTGTTTTTACTCCGGGTTGAATTGTGGGGACCCCGACCCCAGCTCTTTTTTTTTTTTTTTTTTTTTTTTAAACTATACTCTTCTCTCAATTTTTCCTCACACTACCTACCTACCACTACTACCTATAGGCATACGGGGAAACACGTAGCATACCAGAGCCGTGTTTTTACGGCCCCTCGAGCCTGGCCGGCCCCAGCTCTTCGCTTCTTTGAAATCAAACAAACACATCTCTTTCAGAAAAAAAACAAAAAACAAAAAAAAACCGGGGGCACCTGGCCTCGGGTGAACTCCCCAGCCCGAGCCATCCCTCTGTAGAAAACCAGATAACAAAAACACTTCTCGGCAATCTCATTCCTAATACCACCCAATTACCACCCAATTACCGTAGGATCTCACTCAGCGAGTGTAGCGGATTGCTGAAGGCCCCGCCCGCCCCTCGGATCAGCGTGCAAGCGCCGTTGCCCATACAGTGTGAAACGATGTCCGGCCGGCGTGAGGTCCAACTAGCAAGGACGATTGGATTAATCTCATGAATCTGGATGTGTTTTACGCAGAGATGCAGAAAAGCAGTTCAATCCGGATATTCTGCACCTGGCCTCAAACACTTCCAGATTCGGGTGTTCAATTCGATCCTTCTTGCTACCGCGGGCTAGGTCCCACTTGCACGAATTAAAAGATACTGACCGTAGATAGCAAAGATCAACGGCCGAAATCTCCTAATTTGCGCAAGTGGGACCTTGCCCCGGTATTGGGAGCCCGCCCCGGGCCGTCGTCTTTCTTTTTCCCTTCCTCTTCTCTTCCCGCCGTGTATTCCTCATGCTGGGACCTTGAACTCTAGGCGTGGGCAAGAACTCTAGGCGTGCGTAGGTGCCCGCTCTTCCATCGCCGACTACCCGTAGGTACCGGTACGGGTGTACGACGCCTTGTTCCCCTTACCACCGCAGTCCGAGGTGATCGTTCGCCTCCTCTGCGTCTTGCTCCTCGTTGCCTTCGTCTTCGTCTTCGTCTTCGTCTGGTCATGAATCCGTCCCCCTAGCGGGGCGATCCCTGGGTACAAGGGGAAGGAAGAGTAGCACCTCCCTCCCTCTCTCTCTCTCTCACTCACACACACACACACACACACACACACACACACACACATATCATCGGCGAACACACGTAGAGGGGAACACGCCTTCTTATTCTACTTTTTCTTTTTTCTTTTCTTCTTCGTCTTCTGTTCGTACTTATGCTGTGGGGGTAGGCGTCCACGTGGCACCACGTGGGACCACGTGGCTTTCGTTTTTGGTCTCATTCTTCTCTTTAAGGGGGGTGGTTCGATAACGGGGGGGTTGTGCGAAGGAGGTACGAGCTTGCTTGAGGTACGAGCTTGCTTGAGGTACGAGGTTGGTAGCTATGGCGTCCGTCCAACGGGGAGCCGTGGTTAGGTTGATGTTGATGATGGGAGTCCTCTTCGTCGTCGCAGTGCTAATTAATCATCGAGTCACGTTTGATAACGCAGATTTCAATACGGAGAATGACTCAGCGAGTAGAAGATGGACGTTGAGGAGAAGTGCTGCAGCAGCAGGAGGAGGAGAATGGTCTTACAAAGCGTTGGCCACTGAACAGGAGGCCATGTGGGACTCTATCGACGCCGTAGCGGAATGGTTATGGCCGGTATCGCTGAAAATGGCGTTACGCGGTCTGAGACCACTGAAGGCTTGTAGGAGAGCATGTAAGGGGTTCGAAAAGGGAGAGCTGCTGACAGAGCCTAGAGCCCACGAAACCATGTCCGTGAAGAACCTACCGCGAAGCTTCTTCTGGGGCAACGTCAATGGCGTTAATTACCTCACGCCGATAAGGAACCAGCATATTCCGAAATACTGGTACGTCCTCTCTCTCTCTCTCTCTCTCTCTCTCTCTCTCTCTCTCTCTCTCTCTCTCTCTCTCTCTCTCTCTCTCTCTCTGTGTCTTTCTGTGTCTCTGTCTGTCTGTCTGTCTGTCTGTATGTCTGTCTCTTTCTCCGTCTCTCTCTGTGGCTATGGTCCTTGGCGCACTTTTGTGAAATGGGTTGTATGTCATTGAACGCCACCTTGGCAGAGATCCTATTTTTAGTCCGGAGGGGGGAGGAGGTGGAAGAGAGAGAGACAGAGGAGGAAGGGACTGGGGGAGGGGGGGGAGAACTCAGCGTTGTTTGAGCAGCCTACAATTGAAGGATAGTTGTAGGTTTGCCACGTGTCTGCTGAGGCTGCCATCTATTGGCGGGAAGCGACAACTGCTGTCAATCCTCTCTCTCTCTCTCTCTCTCTCTCTCTCTCTCTCTCTCTCTCTCTCTCTCTCTCTCTCTGTGTGTGTGTGTGTGTGTGTGTGTAGCTCGCTCCATCTCGCACGCATGCACTTACGCACGGGGTTGGCTTACATCAGCGGTGTCCTGGGCTCGATTGTGGCATGATTTGTAAATTCCGACGGGGGGGGGTTGAGACGGATCCGTCCACCTGCTCTCTCTCTCTCTCTCTCTCTCTCTCTCTCTCTCTCTCTCTCTCTCTCTCTCTCTCTCTCTCTCTGTGTCTATTTCTCCTGCTCTTTCTTCCTCCCAATTCTGCCTGTCTGTCTACCTGTGTTTCCCATTTCTCCTCAGTTGGTGGGTGCTCACTGGGAACAAGTGTTTCGACGAACTTGCTGCCAAAGGATGCGAATATTGGTGGGGCAGTGCATGCGCTGTCTTCCCCTTTGATTCGTCGTCTTCCCTTCTCCCTCCTTACGTCCTTCGCCTCCTCCACCCTCTCTTCTTTTCTTGCTCGACCTCTTTGTTGCTTCTCTCTCTCTCTCTCTCTCTCTCTCTCT